GGGGAACTGTTTGAAACTCAGCAATATTGAAACAAATTATGGCACCTTGTCGATCAAAATCACGGCACTAGTTCAACGTTTGAACGAAACATCCAACTTTGAAACGTTAAAAACGTGACAAAATAATCGTGAAGTTTAATCTAACTGTTACAGTTATAGTATATTTTTACATAAGTTATAAAAGTCGTTTTTTCGTGGGTTTTTTTTCAGACGGTTTTCGCCTTTCGGTTTTTACAGTGAATCGCCTCATCCTAGCGGTACTGTTAACTGGAAAATTTGCGTTAACCTTTTTTACAACAATTTATACCTAAATACAGTAGATCATGAAAGTGGGGATATACAGTAAATACCAACTCATGCATAGTAGAATATATAATATGATATCAAATGAAATAAAAATGAAGGAAATTATCAACCCTCCTGATACGAAATGCTTACACTGAGATTCTTTCTCCTTGAATAAGAGTTAAAAGGTTGAGCCTCCAGCAACAGTCGTCCACCTGGTTTCAACATCAAGAACATTCTTTGAAATGTCCTCTTAAGTCCCTCATCACCCCAGTTCAGGTGGATCCATTTTGTGAGACTTAGACAAAGTATCACATCATAGGTTGGCTTCTGTTTAGCCAATGCTTTGTCATTTTGAAGGACAAAATTTTCCTGAACAAATATAAATTAGCAAAATAATTTTAATAACAAGTATTTTACAAATTGACATTGTGGGCATATTATGGTTTAAATAATGATTACTACAAATTGTTCATATTTGGTTCCATTGGCTCATTCTAAGACTACATATATACGTTCACACTTCGCCGGAGTGGTTTGAAAACGACGCGGAAAAGCCACAATACAGAGCGAAATTGTTTGAAAGCATCACTTTTGCCCCTCACAGTTTCTAAACGGAGCGAGATGAAAACTGAGCGCTTGGCGGCCGGGCCGGATTAACGTTTCGCGGAGCCCGTGGCATATCAGAGATTTACGATTCACGACGCGGCTAAAGATGACGCGTTCGGAAGGCCGGGTAACTAGCGCGGCCAACGCGTCTTGTGTTGAATAGGCAATTCCAGCTTTTAGTTTATGCGTGCAGGGGACGATGGGAAGTAAGGTATCACGGAGTGATAGCTTATACTTGTAAATATTGAAATATTTCGGTTGTTTTTATTGAAGCAATTTATTATAGCACTATGATACCTTACTTCCCATCATCCCCTGCAGGCATAAACTAAAAGCTGGAATTGCCTATTCCAACGCGTAGTCGACCATTCTACGAAGGAATTTTGTCAATTTCACGTTGTGATCATTACGCTGCGAATTTCAAGTCAGAAAGGAAGAAAGCCAAGGCAAAAATGATGTACAAAGTATTAAATAGAATGGGTCCTTTAAATCACTCACCAATCTTTTTTCATACCAATGTGAGAAAACAAACTACAACCTTCGGGACATTTCAAGTGGTCTTAGTTTACCAAAACCGCGTACTAACAATATGAAAAATAGTTTCATGTATGAAGGAGCACACCTTTGGAATTCTATTCCAAAGGAAATTAGGGAATGCAAAATTCTTTCTTCCTTTCGAAATAAAATCGCTGCTCACAAAATTGACATAAAGTAATAAGTAAATTGATGTAACTGTAAATATTCTAACAACCTTCTTGTCATGTAAATAATTTAAGATTCTACATTTTTAAACTTAACTCTTTTAATATCTCCATGTAGCATTTTTCTATTTTTGCACATGCCCCCCGTGGAAACCAGCCTCGGTTGACGGGGTCAGCGTGTATAAATAAAGTTTCTATCTATCTAACCTGAGCATCGAATATTTTTGCATTGAAAACGTGAATTTAAGTTCTTAACTTGTTACTTTATTTTATGAAGTAGCTACCTTTGATTACATTTTCAGTGGTGTTTAAACAAAAATTACAAAGATTTTGAAAAACCTAGAATTTTCCGACCAAAGTAAGACGACGAGGCTTGGGCCGCGGTAGTTACCAAGAATTTCTAACGCGTCTTCTCTCGCCGCATCGTGAATCGTGTAAACTAGGGAGTTTACGAATGTAAGACGGCGACGTCAGGACGACGGCTATCAATAGAATGATATTAATCTTATCCATAGATATCTTATTTACACTACATAGTGCATCTAATTATTCTGCAATTCAAAAATTGAAGTCGTGATTGCAGACTCAGGATATTCCCATGAAATGAGAAGACTCGTATGTTTTCTATTTCTTAAACAGGGAACTTAAACATTAAATTAAACCTATTCCAAATACATTTTCAAACTATTCAAATGATGAAAGTTACTGTTGTTTTTTAAGCGTTTATTAGCGAGTGGGAAACTTCAACATGGCCGCCATCTATTCAAATGGGGGTAACCGCTGGAATATTCTTGGCTTCAATTTTACTAAAAGAGATGCGTTATCTAGTTTATATACCGGTAAGATATCTATGATCCTATCACAAAAAAAATATGAATAATTAAATGTTTAGTAGGGGTTTTAGACGTCGTCCAAGCTCTGTTGACAACGGCAAAATGCATATTTTCACGTTCTGTGTAGTACGCTAGCATTTCACGCCGTGACTGGTAGTTTTTCTAGCGGCGTTAATCAAAACTGCTCTGAAGGTTAAAGCTCTGTTTTACGCTTTCGAAACTATTTTAAATTCATACGAAAGAAAATACAAGACAAGATTTCCATACAATCATTTATTTCAAACAGTTTGTTTAGCCGTCGTCCTGACGTCACCGTCTTACAACTCCCTACTATATATTATGAGCGCGTAGCCCCTTGACCCCGCCCCCCCCCCCCTCCCCAACGGCATTTTAAACACTGAATTCGGAAGATTCAAAAATATCCTTTTGTATTCCATGTGTTGAAAAGTTGCCGGCTGTGTATTTAAAAAAGAAAGAAGAAATAAACATCAATAATTTGAACTAAAATTAATATTTTTTTGTATGTGCGTGAAAAGTAGCCTCCTCCGCAGGCAACTGTGTAGTTCTGCAACGTTATTAACTATAAAAGATTTATCAGGAACGTAGAAAATACAAGGAAATAGTTCTGAAATACGACATGATAAGATATGATATTATACCTCAAATTCAAATTGTCCAATCAGGAAGCTTAGTTTGTACCACGTGAACATGAAATTAATCGCGATATCACGCCTTACGTCATCAATTAGGGAGCCTGCGTTCCGCCATCAATTAGGGAGCCTGCGTTCCCCGGGGAACATGGGGTGGAACATTATTCGCGTAGACCACGCGAGACAACACGCATGACAACAACATGGCCGACAAAATATAAATAGTATTGATGAGTGATGAATAATCAAAATTTAAAGTGGAAGTCAAGTCCGTTCTGCGCATCGGTTCTGCTCATAACAATGTGACGACCCTCTAAATGACTAAATATGTGAACATTGCCCAAATTTCGAATTTTTCTGAACATAAACTCTATTTCATATTCATTTAAAAGCATAGCGAACCAAAATGGGGTTATATATTCAGACAGTACATCATATTTTAAAAAATACAGCAGTTCAAAATGTAAACAAACCGTTTGTTTACATTACGGACTTGACTTCCACTTTAAACGTAAAGCCTGGGGCTTTTTCAAAATTTTGAAGCAAATTTTGAAAAATGTTGTCATTAATATTCCAAACGATATGTGATTCGAAAGAAAAGCGACGATACTTGCGTTAATCCGAAAATAAAACATCGTATTCACGAAGGTATGTGTCAAGTTTTTAATACTCAACTTGGAGGCTTTTAATTTTCGGTGATGATATTTCCCTCGTGGCAAAGCCCCCCCCCCGGGAAATATCATCACTTCGGGTAATATTTCGCTGAATCCCCTGAGCGGAGGGTCTATAAATGATGATATATTAATCAGATAAAATGGCGTGGAGCGGAAAAATAGGGAGGCGGGAAAGGGGGGGGTGGGGGGGGGAGGCGATTACTTCCTACATTACCCACAAGCCATCCTAATTTTCCGCTCCAGGCCTTTTTAATTTACGCTTCTTGTTTATTAATATCATATCGATTTCAGAACTATTTCCTTGTATTTTCTACGTTCCTGATAAATCTTTTATAGTTAATATAACGTTGCAGAACTACACAGTTGCCTGCGGAGGAGGCTACGTGAAAAGCATATAGGCTACGTTTCATTTGTTGGTATAAAAGTACTCATATAACAAAATTCCAAGAAGATTACGTAATTTTCGCTATTTCTTTATCCGAAGCGGTTACCTGACCTTAATATAGCACCTTTTTTCTTGTGATTTTTCGACCCTCGACAATTTATATTACCTTCGACTTTTTACCCTCGCCTTCGTCAACTGACTCCCGACACTTGTATCTTCAGTGACACAATGGGTATGAGCAATAATATCGTATGACAGGCTGACAGCTACATATTGCATTATATAATACATTGCAATACTTAGTCTTAGATTTTAAAACAAGTACATATTTTATAGTTTGCCTATAAAATTTTTTGATTTTGCCGGTGAAATTTTCCAACGTCTCAGATTCAAGCAGTTTCATATGCCGCTTCTGCCATTTGTGATATGGTTAATCCGGCCTTGGCGGCTTCCTGTCAACAGGGGCACCGTCTTTATCTTGCTCCACTTTAGCATTTTTTATTATCTTTTTATTATTTTTCAATTTTTTTCACTATTTGAGCTCGTTTTGCGAATCCGTATCGAAACTGTGATAGAGAGTTTGGCAAATACAACGGCAACGTGCTCGTTAACAATACCCTTAATCTTATAAGACAAAGCCAAAGGTGACAATAATTTGCATTTTCTTAAGCATTTTAGTACGCTGTAGTTGTTCAAACCACGTTATTTATATCGCTTTCACGGCCAAGCCAACAGACTGTAAAACAATCGTAGTTTGGGAGTAAAGTAGTTTGGAAGTTATGTATGAATTCACTATTGCAAGTACTATATAAGGGAATCTCAGTTTTTTTAAAAGAAAGATAAGTGTTTTTAAAAGATTAGTATACCGTAATGACTAATGCATGTTTTGGCTTGAATACAAAAATACAAGTAATCCAGAAGATGAGTAGCCTGCGGGCAGCCCCATACCACGTAAACGAGGGAAGGTATGTGGTATGGGGCAGTGGGGCTGCCCGCAGGCTAGAACGGAGTTATCCTGCGACATTCAGCCCGGAGTTAAGGAATATCATGTTTCTTAGTCAGGATCTCGTGGCCTAGCGCCAGCTGAGCTAAATTGAAACTTTTGAAGTGCAAGTCACGTGACATTGTTTTGCGCATTAAAAACAGACAGATATATATTTTAGGCACCCAATCTTTTATATAATATATACTATTAATAGTTACGTTTTTGGCTTATCTAAAAATGTGAAATTGCTGGGCTGCTGGCTAAACGTAATTTTGAAAACGGCGAATTGTGTAAACGGCGAATTGTGTAAACGGCGAATTTTTACTGTAGCTAACACCATGGGGTCGGTTTCACCGGCTGTTCTGGCTTGTGTATTCCTGCACGTCTGCTTATTTCAAAACTTCAGTCGTTCAGGGAAGTAAACTCATATCAATTCAGACAAGATTTCGGAAGAAATATTTCCAAATTTATAAAAAGCTGTCAGGAAGTTTTAATGGCTTAGTGTGAACAGATGTAAACAAAAATTAGGCAATGAATTTGGGAAATTCAGTTAGCCTGCAACATTTTGACATTCAGACCCGAGTTAAGAAATGTCCAGTGGTGGATCCAGTATTTTTTTTTAATTTTTTTTTTTGGGGGGGGGGGGGCAGACTAACTTAATAACTTGTGATGTCAGAATTCTATGACTATGACTATGTACAGGGGTCCGGGGATAACCCATTTTGCACCTACTAAACCAACAGTGACAGATGTTGACCAGTTGTTTTAAGGGTTCAGAAAAACATGACTGCACCCTACATTAATAATATTATTTTACTCTGTCTAACATCAGTCAATTTTACTCATCAATGTTGAGAGAGTGCCGATGCTCACTGGGTTAATACAACAGTAACATTTATTGCCCAGGCAATTTAACCCATTGAGTGGCAGCACTCTCCCCTGAGGAGTAAACTCATCTGGCATTAAACAAAGTAACTTAATAAAGTGGGGGCATCAGGGCACATTGCCACTTAAGGTTTAACAGGATGCATGGGCAGATTAACCTATTGAGTCACTCTGTATAGCTGTATAGTTAAAGAATAAAGACAATCACTGGCTAAACATGGAGGCTGGCTATACGTAGTTAAACATGCGGGCTATATACCCGCAAATTATGAGACATACATGAAAATTCCCTTCCTTCCTTGCGCACATTCAAGGTACATCACACCAGTGCCGCCGAGGCGTTATGCGGGGGGGGGGGGGCTACTACAACATTATGTTGCTGTCTGTCATCTAAAAGAGAGGGTAAATTTCCATAGCACACTTACCTCTTTAAACTGCACATTATAAGGAAATCCTGTTCTTCCTTCGGTTGGAGATGTCCGAGACACAATTGGACCACGACACACCATAAATGACATGGGAAAATCTGATGACTGCGTTGGCTTCTTTCTTATATTCTTTTGAATTGTGCACCTTAGAGACTTATTGGCAGCTCGTATTAACGAGCTATCAATGTCAATACCTAATACATGCTTGGGTGAAAAACTCCGAGCTAGTTCTAAGGTAATGTTACCTATGTTACAACCAATATCTAACACAGTCTTATCTTGGAACCACTCGCGATGGAACAACTTGAGCCGAGGGTCATCTGGAACTTTCGGATTACGGTAACCATAGTAACGATTATAGTTACCATAAAGGAAAGTCTTTTGGTGTTTTTGTTTGCTTGAGCCAGATTTTCCAGCATTTTTTGGCTCAGTTTTTGGTTTCGGCAATTTATCATTAAAACTAAGAGTCTCTTTTGCTTTTTCATTCATAGACTCTTCTTTGACTTCAGAACTTAATTTTTCATCCTTAACACTCGTTTCTGGTTTTTCATACATACTTTCCGAAACTTTTTCTCCCTCTAATGATATTTTCTCAATTTTAGTTCCATCCGTGGTATCCAATTCCTTTTCCACTTTGTTTTTCTTCTTTTCTTTAATTTTAACCTCTTTTCCATCTCTTCCATGCTTCTGCATTTTCTTCTTTTTAAATTTCGGCGAAACTAGATCCTCTTTGTTTACATCGGTTTCTTTTTTATTTTTATTTTCCTGTTCGTCGTCGAAGCAACCGCTGTCGTTTCGCTTGCGTTTCCGCTTCTTTTTTGCCAGCGTCACCATCCCTTTCAAGTCCTGATACACATGGCATTTTAGATTCAAAGGATCAGTTACGTCCCTTGCAATAAGAACTTGCGGTGACAACTCCTTCATACGATCAACAAAAGGTGAACACTGTGGTGTTACCTCTGCAGGGTCTCTATCGATCAAGCTGTTTAAATTCAACGGGTCGGTACTATCCCCGCCCATTTGGAATTTGAGTTTCGACCCCCTAGACCCATGTTTAGTTTTTACTCCTGCCTTATCTGGCTCTTTGAGATTAACACTAAATTTGGGTAAAATCGATGCTTTGTGCAGGCGTTTTCCCCCAAGCGGGCTGTGGAATTTCTTTTTGTGTCCAAGATGATGAGATTTTAGTCCCTTTTCCATGTTTCTGTCAGCTCATTAATTATTCACATGCAAAATAAGCACTACAAATGCACTGGAATTGACCAGGAAAATAATTCAAAAACATCAAAAGCGATGAATTTGAGAGCCAAATAGACTCTTTATGTTTAACAAGAAGCAATGAGTTCCTCTCAAAAAATCGCGGTCCTTTCCCGTTTCGAAGATAAAATTTCAACTCGGCCTCTATAAAATAGTACTATTTGCCCGTATACCGTATATGGAAAGTCTATCGCAGCACGGAGCGATATAAGTCGCTTCGAAAAATCTCAATTTTTCGTCCCCACATTAACGGCTGCCAGAATTAAACACTCTAAATGCCTTTAGTAATGCTTAATCTCTTCTTAGAGTAAAACGATGCCGTATAAAAACGCTCCTACCTTGCTTTTTGGACGATTTTCTAACACAACTTCTCCACGGAATTCGGAACGTTTTCGAGACGTCGATATTTTTGAAAACGTTTTCAGAGTTTTACGGGTTACAAAGGGTTATTAAAGTACATCGAGTTATAGTTTGGGATTTGGCATAAAAGAATAGGGATAAAATGGGATAATAGGGTATAAAAGAACGAACAGAGTACTAAACTTACAACATGGATTGTAAAATAAAATAAGTTATTTTACAATCCATGCTTATACTGATTTAACCCAAATTATTCAAAAACTACCCTTATCCAAATCCCCAAACCTTCCTCTCTAATCTTAAATACCCCATTTATTATCCAGAAATATCCCAAAATATTCCCAGATATCCACGTATCTAAATCTAAACGTATAGCCGCTGTATTTGCGGGCGCAAATATTACAAAAACAAAAAGAACTTTTATCAGAAGTCTTTTACGTACGCAAATCACTTTGAAAATATTCAAATTCTGTAATATTGTCTATTGTAATAATACTACCCGACACAACATTTGATATTTTATTCCAGAAATTGATGTGGTTTTACTAAAATATTAAAGGTAGGCGTCTATATAGGTATTAATATCGAATATAGAATGTTCGACTTGAATTTCACTGTGTATAAAATATTAATGTCTATAATATTATACGATTATACGATCGAAATTTTTTTATTTATCTATTAAATATTGTAGTGGAAATTAATACATGAACATAACATATGTTTAGTGTTTTTTTTATGTTTTGTGTTTTTCATAACATAGTGCTTATATATTGTTGAAAATGATATTTTATTTAATTGTTAGACACTGTACATATTAAAAAAGGGATCAAAAGTGGTCAACAGCTTGAATCCCCATAATTAAAAGCATGTAACAGTCCAATACTACATGGGAGGCCCTCCGGGAAAAGACACTCAACGTCTTGTGATATACGTGCATTCCATGTAAGTTCTACGTTGGTGATATGCCAACATTTGCTTCTGATCATGTTTTATAAAAAAAAAACTTTTGGGGACCAAATCCCATTTCAAACGAAACAATCCTGTGTGCGAGTTTTTAAGACTGTAAAGTAATCTCGTGCAATTGCTCACACCAATATACCAACAAATTTAATAACCTCACACCAGAGATTTCCGGCTTGACTTGTGATAATGGTGAAATTGAATAGCAAGAATTGAAGGGGGTCAGCTTCCCATTCTCTGTATACAAGAGGGGGCTATCAGTATTGTAAAAATTACTGAAAAAAAGTAATGAGTAGAAAGTACAATTACTTCTCCTAAAAAGTAATTGGTTAGATTACAAATTACTTTACTAGAAAAAGTAATTAACCCATTAAGCGCCAGCGCTCTCCCCTTGACGAGTAAAATCGTCTGGTGTTAGATAGAGTAAAATACTAAAATAAGGTGGATCAGGGTGCAATGCAACTCAATGGGTTAACTACACACATGTATGGGCAGATAGGCCAGTTAACCCATTAAGCGCCAGCGCTCTCCCCTTGACAAGTAAAATCGTCTAGCGTTAGACAGGGTAAAATACTAAAGTAGGGTGCATCAGGGTGCAATGCGACTCAATGGGTTAATTACCAAGTACTAATTACTTTTCAAAAAGTAATTAATTAATTACTAATTACTTTCAAAATTACTTTTCGTTTTACTTTTGTATTTAAATCATGCTTTCTGCTTTTGACCTTTCACAATACTAAATTGAGTAAAATCATTTTGCACAAAATTGGTGGGAAATTGAAAGAGATAGTACTTTTTTAGACAAGTAAAAAAAAGTAGGGCGCACTGGGGCGCATTGCGGCTCAAATGGGTAAAACATTGATACACCTATCAATGTAACTGCTAGGGGAAGTTGTGGTGGGGATATTGCTTGAACAATCACCCAGGCCGTCAGGCATTTGAACATCAATGTGACCACAAAGGTAACCTGAGTATCAGGCTCTATTTTACAAATAGAGCCTGCCACAAAACTTAACCTGATCGCTTTCCACCCACAGCAAAGTTTATATTTAGTATCCAATCAAAATGTCGCAGGAGAAATTTAAATTTCACACAACGACAACAACAATCTAATTATAGCATAGGCAGCCCACTAAACGGCTGAATTTAAATTAAAACTGCAATGAACTTATAAAATTAACAAAAATAATCACAAATTAGCGAAATATATTTCAAATGTAGCTTATATTAAATCGCCACCCGATTGCTCTCTCCTCCACAGAGGTTTCAGTGACTACAACGAGCTTTACATGGCGCTTACCGTATTTATCAACAAACTGACATACAATTATAAAGTATATATTTATTAAGTATACTTTATAACTAGACGTCAGTTAGTCGATAGTGCAATCTGATATTCTTATGGCGATTTAATATAAGCTACATTTGCAATATATTTCGCTAATTTGCGATTATTTTCTAATCTTACTGCAGTTTTAATTTAAATTCAGCCGTTTACAAGTTATATGATCATTTCCGGTGACGTAATATTTTGAGTGGTCTCATCCAATCAACGCTCAGTCCAGATTCTGGACTGAATAACCAGGCAAAATGCTGCTTTTGTGTCAGGCCGTACTTTTCCCCCCTTCGCCCGCGATCAGGCGTGCCTGTGCCCTAAAAAGTACGGCCTGATACTAAGGTTACCACAAAGGACTGATAGTTCAGAATTGTTGTTTTATATATTGTTTTGTTTATATTCAAAATTTCAATTTTGTGTCAAATCCCACCCTTTGCTGCATGCCCTAACATTAACAACACAAATGAATGCCATCGTAACTCATTAAAGCTGCAATGCGCCCTACTTTATACTTTATTATTATACTGTGTCTAAAGCCAGACAATTTTACTCGTCAAAGGGGTCAGAGCACTTTCAACAGGTTAAACAAAGACAGTGAGGTTTTGATTAACAAGTGCATGAAATCATCATGGATGAATGTTTATCGATGTTAGCAAACAGTTGAAACACAAAGTAACATAATGAATCCACAATTCCTACTAATTGTTATAAGTGTAACTAATCTATTTCAACTTGAAAATGCTAATTAGTCGAATTAATGGCATATTGAAACATCATGTTGTTTAATTCTTTTCAATTACAGCATGCTTATAAACCATTTTTGATATTGTCTTAAGGCTGCTTACTTGCTACATTTACACAATATGACCAGGATGCCACTGATGTTAGTTGCATATTTTAAAAAGACATTGTCAAGATTGTGTATTGACATCAGCAACTGAAGATTTTCATCATTAAAATTGAGCTTACACCAAAAAGCTGCCCAAGAAACCATGTGTGAAATAATGTACCTTAATTTTCAGTCTTAATTATTTTTCAAATAATTTCATTCTTGTTTGCTTTTCAGATGCAGCTGAACATATACAACTGTTGAATAATAACAAGATGTGTATAAAACACGTCCCATCCATGAGATCTGAAAAGAAATACATGCCTTGGATATAACCATTTGAAGAATTAAAATCGCAAATCTTCAACGAACATCCCTCTTGCATAAGCTAGCAAGTCAGTGTATTGCCAGCATCATTAAATCTATGATTGTTTAGTAATGCAGCCAACTATAAAACATCTCCATCAAGAAAACTATGCAAATCAGTTAAACTCAAATGAAAACCAACAAACATATATTGAAGACACCATTCAAAACCTACATGGTTCAAATATATATGTAAAGCAAGCTATCCTACTTGGACTATGGTATTTGTTTAGTTTTTTCACGATTGTCTTGAATAAGTACATACTGACAGTGCTTGGGGGGCAGGCAAGTCTCCTTGGCAGAACTCAAATGCTAATGTCGGTGATATTTGGTGGATTTACGATATATGTGCTGCCGTGTTGTGTCCAGAGGAGTGGTGTTGAGGAGAGAAAGATGAAATTTATTAGGAATATGTCAATTTTAGGTATTCTTAGGTGAGTATTAGGGCATATAATGTTTTACCTTGAGAAGATAGCTAGATAAACACTCTCTGTCTTTGGATTGCAGGATCGAAATGAACTTGTAAACTACTGTGCCATCAACACACCCTGGCTTAGATAACTCTTAGGTGAACATCTATCTGTGGCAGGCCACTCTCTAACTAAGTAAATAAACATTTTAATTTTTATACTGAATAACTCTTATGCTTCTATTAATCAGGGTATACACCCTTTGGTGAAGGTGAAATTCAAGGACTTTTTCCAGGACTTTCAAGGCCCATTTTCAGTAAATTCAAGGATCTAGAACTGGGAATGGCACGGATTTGCCGTAAATTATTCACTTTATTCAGTAATTTTAATCAAAATCACTAACGATTATGTTAGAAGAACTGGAGGTTAAGGAAATTAATTCCAGGACTTTCAAGGACTTCAAAGTTCTGGAATAGTTTTTTTTCCAATTCAAGGACTTTCCTGGATTTTCAAGGCCTGTGGACACCCTGATGGCCTAATTAACTCTAAACCATAATACTTTTTGTTTGTGGAAGCACCACATAAACAAAAGTGAGAGTGTATACAAAGAACTCAATTCTAAACTGTTCTCCCTCGGGAGAAGTACAGTAATGGTTATCCCAGCTTGTTGGTCAAGCATTACTACAGGAGGGTCCAGGTTCTGGACCCCCTACTTTTCATCAGGACCAATTTTTTAATACTTTCAAAACTGAGAAGAAACTGGCAGGGGGCGGGGCTTAATGTGTTCATCTATGACATAAAATATACCAAATCTGTTGCTTTCGGATTATCATAAAACATGCCAAAATGCATGAAATAGTGTTTCGTAGACCCTAAAAATAGCAATATGTAGCCTGCGAACAGGCTCACTGGGAAAAATGTTCCTGGGAAACCGTGACAAGGCTCAAGTAACAAAACAGAATGGATCCTGAAATCAAACTCTAACTGGTGTACGACTCAGGCTGATCCTGCCTCAATAGCTAATCTGAATTTGGCTCAATATATGGTTTCTTCAGCCAAGGTTTATCCCAGCAGCAAGATAATTTTTCAACATTTGAATATAGCCTTTTTCCCAAAAGAGATAACAGCGCATTCTGGGATCGTTTGGAGGGACAAAATATATAGTGACAGGCGTCAAATATGTGAAAAAGTAGAAGTATCTACTATCAACTTTTTAGACGACCAAAAATGAAATATCTCCTTTTTTACATTAAACATTTAATTTAAATGTGTGCTGCCATATTTCTTGTCCCTCCAACATGGGATTCGCGCGACTAGACCGACTAGACCCAGGACGTTTGGAAATGGCTAATTAAACAGAAATGCAGATGTATCCAAACCAAAACAGCGGGTTAACTTCCCGGGTTAAAAAATTCGGCAATTTAATGAAGATGGGAATTTCAGTAGTAGAATTTCTGTGACATTCAGACTGGAGTTAAGGACTTAACTGACGTTCTCGCGGCCTAGCGCCAGCTGACATTGTTTTGCATACTAAAAACAGACAAATATACTGTATATTTTAGGCTACATGACATCCTCGCAACACTTATCTGGTACCCATTTTTTATTGAGCAAAGTTTCGAAGATGAACAATGTTTTACATAATATATAATAGTGGCTATTATTTTGGCTGATCTAAATTGTGAAATTGCCGACTAAACGTAATTGTGAAAACGGCGTATAACGCCGAATTTTTTACTGTAGCTAACACCCTGACTTTTAACCCACGGTTATGGCACTTATCCAACGCTTTGAACAACCGGCCCCTGAAGTTAACGTGACTGGATGCATGTAATATACGGTATATACACATGTCCTGTATTTATGAATTATGACTGTGTAACTAATCCAATTTTGCCCCTCATTAATATAATGCCACAAAGTTTCTTTCGAAACATGGCATTAAAAGGGTAATTGACACAGAGGTGAAGAACATTATTACAAGGTGTAGACCTTGAGCAATACATTAAATTGGGGGAGGGGGGTGCAAAAAATCTCGGGGGAGGTGCAGATCAATCTCAGCGGAGGTGCACCCCTCCCCGAACATAAATTAATCTTTTAACTATCTCACTATAGATTTGGAACCGTGGTTTGCTCATTAATTAGTCTCAAGCATGTTGCTGTGTCATTTACGGAAACTGTGAAAGCATCGGCTCCGTTATTCACTGTCATTCTTTCATTTCTAATTCTCAGTAAGTCATTTTCTCACTGGGTTTCCAAAAAAAAAACTATATACTGTTTGATTTCCTGTAACGTAAAAACTATAAAAGATATTATTGCACTGAAATAAGTTTCATTGCAATCACAAAGGGGAAAATGAAAATCTCGAAAAGGTGTTGCGCTAACCCATGCAGTATTTTTTTTTTATATTCAGGAGAAAAAGTTGGATTGCTAGTGATGTTTTCACTAATCCCAGTCATGGCTGGTCTATCTCTTTGTTCTGCAAATGAAATTAGTTTCAATGTAATCGGTTTTGTTGCTGCTATATCAAACAATATAATGGATTGGTTAGTAATGAACACTACTTACAAATACAGTGTTTTAGTTTGTCTCATTTGAAGGAACGTATGAAATCTTGTTGCAGATTTTTCATGGTTATATTCAGTGCCGTAGCCACGAGGGGGGGGGGGGGGCGCCCCCCCCCCCCCCCCGAACCGCCACAACAAAAATCACTCTCTCAAAAAGTCTAAATCCGTAGAGAAATTGGGGGGGGGGAGTCTCGACCTAGCATAAGGACGATTTACTGGACGAGCTTGGTGTGTAAATTCTCGTAACGCGTTTGCATATCATGGTTCCAAAGAGTGGATTTAGTTACTACTATTTTCAACTGTTAAATGGCATGCATGCATTACCATAGCATGAATATTTCTTCTCATATTTATTCTGTATCTTGTGAAAAGTAATGCAATTTTGAGAATGCGAGAAATGGCGTCTCATAGAACCGATAAAATTATCTAAATGCAAAATTTCCAAGGTGACGTTTCCATGCAATTCATTTAGTTCCGTGGAGAAATATCTGGTAAAAATCGTGTCTTTTATGTACTTTATAATGTTCGGAATTCTGAAAAATTTCATCCCCAAAATGCTTGAAATCACATTTCAGGGAATTTATATTGCAATATTTAGACTGAAAGCAATGAGCTTATCTACCATCTTAGATTAATTCATAACGTCAGTAGGCCTAACTGTGGTTTTGATGACGTCAATTAGGGTTAGCCTTATTAAACTACCTCTAAGTGACATCTAATTGAAAAGTTTATATCCAGCTTAACTATTCAAATATTTTGGCTGATAGCAATGAGCTGTCCGGTCCTTAATTCTTAACCTCGTTACCCATGCATAGTTTTGATGACGTCAAGAGTGGGTTTAGCCTTTTAAAATTACTTCTATAAGTGATTCGAAATTTGAAATAGCAACCAAAAACGAATTTTGAGCTAATATTGATCACTGGCTGTCAAGATAAAAAATTTGCGTGACCCCATTTGTGACGTAACATGCATATTCTGAATAATTCAAGATGGCGGACAGCCCACTGTTTTCAGTGAAAATATTTCAAGAATTAAAAAAGTGTAAAGTCTTTTAGTAATTATTTCTAAAGCTCTTTTACAGTAGACAAATTAAAGTTCCTCTGCTAATGTCCCGTAATAAGTAGTATTGCCCGACACAAAATAAAACATATTGTGTACTAACATATTGGTCAATGTAAACATTTTTTCAGTATTCAAAATGTTTTCTCAAAGAAGCTTCTTTCTGGTGAATCATCGTATAGGTAAAATTATTTTCGTTTAAAATTAGATGCAGGGAAAAAATTCAATAGTTACGTTCCAGATTATTACACACTGTCAGCTATTTATTACTAAGCATCAAAAAATTTAATCTAAGAGGTAAATTTTGACACTATACTGTCTAAGATCATTGAAATTGGTCTAATAGAGCGAATAATAATGACAAAAATCATGCATCAGAAAAACCCTGCAAAACGAACCTAGATTTTTCAAGTTAGCCTAAACAGGTTCTTATGTACATGGTGCTTACCAGGAAATTGGTCTAAATAGGTTCTTAAATAGGTTATCAGTTTTCTTAAGAAAAAAGCGATTCATTTTCGGTAGGTATGGTATATAATTTATATAAATTATGCACAAATCTAATAATTGCTTGTATAGTCACTAGTAGTTGAGATTGTCATGTACTATTTTTACTGAAGAAATACAATTATTTGTTGTTGACTTGTTGTGTTCACATAGACATGTTATTTATCTGAATGACATTTCCAGGGTCATTTTCATTACTTTTCAAAGAGCTTATTTTCTTTGATTTACAAATTTTTAGTTTTTACTCTATTTGATAAAGTAAGAGCCTGCTTTGAAATTCTAGCCTAAACAGGTTCTTATTTAAAAGGGGTCTAAATAAATTTTTTTTAGCCTAACAGGTTCTTAAATTCTACATAGGTTCTTATATGCGGGGTTTTACTGTATTTGAAGACACCTTGGTTTAAACAGCCATATGAAGATTGGTTCTACTACACAAATTTTAATAATCTTTAATGTCAAAATACATCTCGTAGACTAAATTGTCGATGCCCACAAATATAATTGCGTTTTTCGGGGACACCCTTCATGTATTTGGTGTTGTTAAAAGTCGACAAACAGTGAAATTGCTTTTTAATTTTCATTATATAGTCCACCAGAATTACAGTTTTACACTGGGACTGCAGCGTTGCTACTACAGATACCATATTGGATTTATACAATTGTGAGTTGGTAACTATTAAGGTCGAAATATTCTTATATAGGGTTTAATTTGCTCTACAATCTGTTAAGTGACGTTTTCAAGTTATGTCCACTTATTCTATGCTTTAATATTTCTAGGATTTTCAAGAAAGTTTTACGAAACCAGATTACTTCTATATTGGAATTTTAATGTTGGATAGTTTTTCATTTTATCTTCAAAGTGTCACAGCGTATGGCTTAATGGCGCTTATATCTCCTATAACATTTAGGTGTGTGTTGACGCATTTCAGTATTAATTTCTCTTATGAATACTTTATCAGTACCAAATATCACTACCTACACGAATACACACAATTTTTCTTTGCAGTGTTGCGAACACGGTCAAACGAACCCTACTTATATGGTTGTCTGTTGTGGTGTTTGCGAACCACGTGACCTGGCTCAGTGGACTGGGAACAATGATCGTCACACTTGGTGTTGTAATGTATCAAAGAGCCAAACAAGTCGAGGCAGCAGATAAACACAAACAACAACAAGACCAAAATCATAGAGCATCACCATAGATAGCAAATTTTTGTGTTTGGGGGCCGGTCTATTTATGGTGGGGGTGGCACCGAAGAGAAAAGGGTTGGGTAAACAAAATTTTGAGTTAGTATAAAAGGTTGGGTAAATGGAAAACAAAGCAATTCAAGGGTTGGGTAATAAAAATTATTTTCAATTATTTTTCCAGAGCATGTCTCACTCAAAATAAATATTGAAGACTAAAAAGAGTCAATGTCAAGAGTCACATGTCACTATCTTGATCATTTTCCGATTTGTCAGGAAGTAAATGGTGTCCCCAAAGAAAGTACATGTGTAGACAACATGAAACTTTAACTGCAGAAGATTGCAAAAGCAGTTAGTCAAACTAATGTATAAAGGACATTTGTAAAGTTTTTGGCCAGGGGTTGATATTTATTTTTTTTAATTGATATTTGAGGTTGGGTAAAAAATTGTTTTGATTTTTAATGGTTGAATCAGCAAAATGGTTACGAAGAAAAGCATTTCTCTTCGGTGCCACCCCCCACTATAAATATGACCGGGGCCCTTATGCACTACGCCCATAGTCTATCAAGATATGATGATCTGGAAACTAAGCAGAAGTCACTGTGTTGTTTTTGTCTGAGTTTATAGTAATTTGTGCACAGTCATGGTGATGGAGCTTATTGTATTTTCGTATCGTGAAGTAATCGTCCAATAGGGATAGCTGAAATGAAACGTGCAAGCACGATCATAATATTTAATGAAGTTGGATTTGTGCACGGTTAGGTACAGTTCAACATCAGACAAAGGTCTTCGATTTTGGGGCTTCCAGACCATCGTATCTTGACAGCCTATGCTACATCGGGATATTTTAAAGTACATCCACATACTTGTCAACAAGATGTGTTTGCAAAAAAAGGTTTGTAGCAAGCTTCTCAACAAGTTGTCACAATGTTGTTAGTTCTTCAAATTACTACGGTGTCACTCACAACGTGTCAACAAGCTGTTGTATTGCAGGCGATAGCAAGATGTTGCAACAACTTGTAACAAGTCTGTTTAGTTCATCAACGTTGTAGCAAGTTGTCAACAAGCTGGGAACAAGCAGTGCGAACACATCCATGACATGTAACTTTTGTCGAAACAGCATTGGTATACAAGTCTGCTGCAGGTTTGTACCAAGTTGTGCGTTTTTACGTGTGTATATGACACGAAAGTGTCGATTGTCTTAAACGAAAGAACTTTCGAAACTGCAGAATGACAAGTGAAGCAAGCGAAAGATGTTTTCTTTGTGTTAACAAATTGTGAAACACGAACAATTACTGCATAGATGACAGGCAGAAAATATTTTCGGACCTCTGTGCCACAGATATTAGATAAATCGCATAGTTGAACAATGGACTATATTATGGGGAAAATAGTGAAGTACTAACCAAGTACCATCATTAGTACCTGGTTATAATTTTCCCCTGACCGGTATTCGGTAGACTATTATCTGGTATTTGGCACAACTGTTAAGACAAGGAACTTTTGGTATATTGAAGCAATCACCCAATCAACCTCGCAAGCAAGGGTCTCCGTCCCGCCGCGGGTGTGGAGACCCTTGCTTGCCAATAGCATCGTCTTGGATTGAACCACAATCGAAAAACTACTCCACGTGCGTTTGAAATATTAATAGACAAAACAATTTGCGCAGGGTGAAGTCGCCTCAACGTAAAATCGTAGCTTATTATAGACGCTTTGAAATTTTCTGAGTTTCCTGGCCTTATAGCTCGATTGGTTATGATTAAAGATAATATAAAATGTCAAAATATATAAATTATGGGAAATATCATAATGACTATTTGTAATAATTTGTAATAATAATGGAGCAATTAAATTTTTACTTGGATTTTTTTATATTGATTATTTAACAAATATAAAACATTTTCCGTGTTAATATACAGTTATATCAACACGAGTGGAAATTGGGAAGGGCGTCGTGTTTCCACACAATTTCTCGTTTTCCCAATTTCCACGAGTGTTGATATAACTATATATCAATACGAAAAAGAAATTTTCCGATGTTTCCGTGTTGACATTGAGTTATATCAACACGGCTCTTAACTAATCAGCGTTCAGAATTTACAAATGCTGATTATAATGCTATTTATAGAACAATGTATAATTTGCGCAAAATAACGAGATGTTGTTGTTAAAATTCCGAAATGTAATACGATCCGATATGAAGTCTGCGCTCATGTCGAATATTTCACTCAACATAGATACAATAAAAGAGCAACAGTGGTGTATTTATTATACGTGATTCTTGTTCACGTTTAACTATATTTACTGCCTCGTCCCCAGGCGCTAATAAAAAATTTCATGCGAGTCACTATATGAAAGGTTTACATGAAGTAGTGCATCGCGACGAACAAGCGCAGGGGTTTATGGGCTTGAGGCAGCGAAAATTGAGAATTCGTAGGTCAGTGGGCAGACTCTATATCAGTGATTATGGCGTGTACGAATTCGTTACGCGAAAAACGCGTTCGGATTGTGCACGCATAACACACAGTTACTGTGGGTTTTGCTACGATGGATTTGTTAAGGCCAATGAAAATTGATATCGTGTTTCTCGTCCAAAATTTTCAAAATTTTAATACGTCCTTCACTACAGTCTACAGACTACAGTATATTTCTTTACATACCAGGGCTGACATGAAAAATAGAGGCATTCTGGCGAGTGATATCTTTAGAAAGATACAATTTGAGTTGCGCTTGCGGAATGCAGCAATAAGATTTTGATCTGGAGATGAATTTGGTGTTTTTTAAGCCTATTTTTTCAAAAATAATGAATAATGAAAAATTTTCGTGCGGCAGATAAATCCCATGCGGGCGGGGACGAGAAACATGATATCAATTTTCATTGGCCTAAGTGTGCAACTAAGTATGATCCGCACAATTAGAACTGTAAATATTTTAATCTTGAATAACCATTTTAGCGCAAATTACCGGTATATCAATCTGGAATAACCATTTTCCAGACTGTAAAGTTTGGCCTGCGTGGGGAACGCGTTCCAATTTAGCTGAATTTCTGTCCGCGCATTTTCAAGAAAATCCTACAAAATCTGCATATTTTTGATGAACTAATGATATATTTTGTCTCGTATGTGTTGGGCCTTGCGAGAGAAAACTCTGAAAATGCCATTTCAGACCATCTAGAGACTCCAAATTTTCGAAATTTTCCCAAATATTCTGCCTTCATTTCCGCGCAACTGCCATTTACGACGAAAAGTTCCCTGCGCAAAAATAATACTTTACAGACGTCTGGACCATTTCAGCGCAAATTACCGGTATATCAATGACTGTTTATATGCGCATATATTATTTTCTGATTATATTCTAGTCTAGCTAGTGCTTGGCGGCCATGCATTCACTTTTTAAAGTTGTCGATTGACTACAGGGTAGGGTGGGACAACGATTTATTGCTAATCGTAGATTCATGTACGCGTAGCGTAACCTATTTTTTTAAATTTCGAGTAGTTTAAAGAGCGTTGGTCAAAAAATGTTTGTCTGTGCAGGTGGAAAGGATTGGATATACTCCCAAAAACCATCAGGCAACAGGGAACATAACAAGCATCGTTTAATTAAGTATCTTCGAGATTGTGATTCACAGAACCATGTATGTAGTCTGTAGGATTAAGATTTAAAGATAGGGTACAGTCCGGTCTGCGCATGCGCACGGGAGTCCTGCCGTGATATAAACACTTTAACTGAGGTTTTTATTTCATTTTGTGTTCTTGCAAAGCCTGGCCTGATTGTTGTATCTTGATCATGTATTATAGAGGCCCACCAAGGGTGCAACCTAGGTCGCTTGTCACTAAGGGACCGTTCATTATTTACACCCGGGGTTGGTACCGAAGAGATATGGGTTGGGTAATCAAGTTTTTGACTAGCTCATGGGTTGGGTAAAAAAATTTGTGGCTGTCTGTCAGCTATAAAATAAAACCGAAATTACCATGCATTGGAAAATATGAAGAAAAATGTGCACAATACATTCTGTACCAAAGTAGACTATCAGTGATTGAGGAAGGACTCTATTATTGATCAGCAGGAACGTGGTTCCATTGGCACACTCAGTGAGTTTGAGTCTGAGTGAGCTTTTAAAATTTAGGCATCTTGATTTCTGTCACCAAATAATCTTGTGTGTTTAATTATTAAGTACAGTAACACATGGGTTGGGTAAACATTATTTTGACCAATGTTGAGGTTGGGTAAATAAAAAAATTACAGTGTTTTTCGCTTCTCTTCGGTACCAACCCCAGGTATAAATAATGAACGGTCCCTAATTTTGTAACTGCTTTGTCGCTTGTTTTATTGTAATAAATGTCGCTGTCACTTTTGACCCATAACACAAATTGCAATTTGTCGCTTTTTCCCAGTCCAGAAGCTGTCGTTTGTCGCCCTTTTTTAGATAGTCTGTCGCCTCTTTTTAAGGAATGTCGCCTGTCGGCCATAACCCCTTGGTGGGCCTCATTATACTGTAGAAGCATAGGCAGCCCAGCAAAATGTGTAAAAATGCATTAAACGCTTAAAAATACGTATAAAGTTCGTCACAATTTGCTATCAAGCGATTTATTTGTGTAGCTCATTATACATGCAGATTCCGATGTTTACGTCATTGTATTTTCATATAGTATATTATCCTAAGGCGGGCAACTCTTTTACAAAAACATTTACACACACTAATACGCTCGCTTCAAACAACAACAAAAACCGCTACTTTCTGAAAACAAACTACATACAAAACACCTTGGATATTTTTTCTAACTTTATTCAAACTTTTTAGAGTTGAAAAAAGTTTAGAAGTATTAATTTAAATTTCATGGATAAAAAGTGGGTTTTTATCGAAATTATTTTGTCGATAGGCGGGATGCAAAATGCACGACAAACGTCATCATCGGAAAAATCATCGGCTTGTCG